ACAGTGTTGAGAGATCTATTTTATGATAGCAGTATTCACACAGCAAAAGGAATCACCCAAGAAATTTTCCATCACCTTTTTTTGAATCACCACTGGCACAAAGAACGAAACCCAACTGCAAAAAAAGCCTAGGAAACAGAGAGTAGAACCTACAAAATGCAGGAGGATATTTTGCTAGCATCTTTTCCCCTTAGAATATCCTTTTCCTTTTGCATATCCCGATTTTACAGACTTTTAGGCCCTTTGTGTGAAATGCTGTGTGTTTATCAAAAAACCTTAAACGGCTTAACCTTAAAGGCAGCCTTGGGAAACGAAAATAGCAGGAAGATGCTCCATCTGTGTAAATTTGTCTACTAACCCTGATGGTGGGAAGGTGATCCAAACAGGAAAAGAGACCTTGAAAGAGACTCTGCTACCCTGGATATAAGAAAGAGCCACAGTGGGTGGCTTCGCCAGCACTCAGGTGAGGCACACTGAGACTGATTTTTTTGGGGAAAAATCAGCTGCAGAAGCACCCCATGGGAATGGGAATAGGAGGAAGTGGCACAGGCATCACTCTGATGATTGTACAGCACACCACTGCATTTTCAGCCTAATTCACTGCTGCCTTTGGAAAGACTCCCCCAGCCCTCAAAAGAGCAGTGTGTCTCCTCATGCCAGAAGAACTTTTTTTTCCTACTAATTCACGTGCAACCAGGCTATTCTTGAACACCAGACAAGCAGCATTAACACTCCCAGAGACAGAACCCAGCCACGGCACTTCCCTGCACTCACACGGTTATCATGTGGTGCTCAACTTGTCCCAGGGACCAGTCAGACCCGGGGAAGATGCAAAAACAAGGAACAAAACCAAGCTGGCCTCACAGAACACTGAGCACTGAGTTGCTTCTTAAACAGGGGGCCTGGACCACAGATGCAAAATCTCTATTATTGTTTGAACATCTAATTGCAGGGTATTGAGAGGAATTGCTATTAGAGACGTCGGTGTAAATGCCCTGCCTTTTCACACTTTCTCTGAAGCTCTCAAATACCCAAAACAAGCTTCTGGCAATTCAGAAAAAAAGTAATTGGTGGAAGTCACGCTGAAAATGTGTTGCAGGGCACAGCATCCATCCCCACCTCAGTATCCTTAATTACAGAATCACCCTGCTTCTCTGGCCGGGAGGTGCCGATTTTAGCACCCATTTAGCACCATTCCTGGCTCAGCTCTCACAGCAATGCAGGTAACACTGGAAAGTGATACCTGCCCCATGGCTGACTGACATTTCTCATTACAATAACCTACCTTCCAATGCAAGTGAAAGTTTGTTTGGCTTCTACTGAAGGTGAAATTTTCTGTGAGTTGTTCTTTCATTACAAGATTTTCCCTCCCAAATCCCAGCATCTGCAAACAAACAGGCCATTGCAAAGGCAATTTAAAAAAAGGTTTGACCTTTCAGCCACAAGTTTTCTGGCTTTAGTTAGCTCCAGCTATTGCTTTAATCACATCTTATTATTTCATGCTCTGTGTGCTCTGTGCCAGATTTTACTTTTAAGGAAGAAATGCTGGCATATGCTGTTGCCTAATCGATGTGTGGGGGAAAATAGTCATTAGGGAAAGCCTACAGAACAGGGTATTTTTAAAATGAACTTCTGTGTTGTGGGAAAACATATGCCCCACACAAAATCACCAATGCTCAGTAATGAAATAGCCACATTTATACAGGATGTACACTGCCTGTCATATAGCAGTTTTAACATATGTCCTGATACATCCAGGCAAACCGAAACACCTTAAACTCCTGGGAAAAAATTCCCTGTGGTATAAACAGCCCTGGCTCCATTCACTTCATTGAGGGCTTGCTTTAGCACCTGTGGCAGGAGCTCAGCTCTCCCTGGCTGCCTTTGGGCTCCAGGACTGGGTAGGTCGCTGGCATGAATCAGCACCTCCCACCAGCAGCCATGTGGGTGGGAAAATAAAAATGCTGTCGGAGTAAAGCAGCAGAGAGGCCATTGATACCAACCGTCCTGGAGCAGCTCCCAGCCAGGGAATGACTTAACAGCAGCACAGCTCAGCAAGGATGACAGAAGAGCTTGGATCAGGCATTTATGGAAGGGAGTAGAGGCAGCTCTCTCAGCCTGCCAGACCTGGTCCCAGGCTGAGCCCCAAGGCCAGTCCTGCGGCTGGAGTGCGTGGGCAGGGGCTCAGGGCCTGCAGCAGCACCCTCACCCCTCTGAGACACTGGGGTGCTGCTCCAGCTCAGGTGCCAAACACCCAACCCACAGCACACACACCTCTGACAGACCTTGGGTGGGATTTGGATCTGGGCTGTGCAGCAGGGAAACCCCTGGGCCAAGGCAAGTCCTCACCATGTCCTGTGTTCCTCCTACCTGGCAATAGCGGATCAATTTTGGCTTTGCTTGTCCTACGTTGTGGGACTGATTCCCCATCTTTTACTTCACTTACACACTTTAGCTGAGGATCTTGTGGGATTTTGTATATCCAGAGCCCTGAAAGGTGGTGTAGGTTTTCAGGTGTTGCTCTAAGTTAGGCTCAGAGAGCTGCTCCTCGGCTGTGAGCCTCGAACAAACAGAAGGAAAACACCCCCCTTGGATTTGTTCTGTAGTGTAAACCCAAAATGCCTTTGCTAAAGCAGCCTCCACACACAGGGGATGAAGAGAGGTGACAGCAGCTGGCTTTGCCAGCAGAGGTGAGAACCACCAGCGCTGGAGAGATAGGGTGAGCTGAAACACACAAGTGTCAAAACTAAGTCAAGTGCAAACCAGGGAGAGAGGAAGGCACTTCACCTCTCAGGAATAAACTCAGTTTCTCAGATTAGGGCACAGGCTGGGGGGAAATGGACAGAACAAGGGACATTTCTGTGAGGGCTTCATGGTATTTCAAGAGTACCACTCTTGGTACTTGCCATGCAAAGACTGTCATTTTACCTTGAGGAAGCCATGGATAGTCATATCCATGAGCCACTGGAAGTGAGCAGCACACAGAGCTGCAGCACTCCTGATTCTGAGGGGTGCAAACATCTCAAAAGACTGCATGTTTCAGCAGCACAGAGATTAGCATGTCCTCTGCAAGATGCCAGACAAGATTTGTAGATATGAGTCATAATCCAAATTTTTCAGCTGCATCCAGTCTGTTCTGCCTACATTGGTCCTTAAAATTGAACAGTTTCATGCTCTCATCTGCCAGTATCTCTCTTCATGCTCTTCCAGCAGCCACCTTTTCTCTATTTTGTCATTCCAAGCTTCTTCTCTCTTCCATCAAAACCCAGTAGGGATGTCTCAAACATCAGTAGCAGCAGGTCTCTCTTGAAGAGCAGGAATTTCCTATTTTCTGCAAGCTTTCTTTATGGAAATTGAATGTCTTTGGCTTTTTTTTTAAATTAAAATAATTTTTTAAAAAGTTTGAATAGGAGACCAGATGGTTTTCAAGCTAACCTAAAGCACAGACCAATTCAACAACAAACCAAATACAGCAACTAAAGGGATTCAGATGCAGACCTCTGATTTCTCCATCTCTCTCTTCATGGGAGTTTGCTTCCCTTAAAATGGCAGTTAAGAGGTTTTGCACAGCAGCTAATTTAACTGTGTGGAACAGCATAAATGCTGGCAAAGATTAAAAGCAACAATGTCTGATTCACAATGAAGACCTTCCTTCTTCCCTGTATGTATCCTTAGCAGTATCTCCCTACATCTGTCAATACCAGTGCCCCTGTGGCTGTGACAGACCCGTGGGGTTAAGCAGTGTGAGCTGGCAGAGGGGCCAGTGATGTTAATGTAATTACTGACAGCACACTCAGGAGCATGCTTGCTTTTTCCAGCTGTATCTGTGGCTAAACTAGCTGATATTACCATTCTCTATAGCTTTTGCCAGCAGGATGTTTTCATCTGGATTTTGATACACAAGCACCTGTGGGTTTGTTTGCTACTACAGAAATGATGCTGCATCCTCACCTCCTTTTTTCCCCTTAGCACCATTAACTTGAGTAATGCTGGGGGAGCAGCTGAAGGTCTGCTCCAATATTCTGTGTGCCCTTCAGCACACATACAACACCTCTGCCATAAAAGCAAGCAAGCAGCACACAGAGCACCACAAAGCAAGGACCACCACAAAGCCAAATATATTGGTTCCATGATGACTCAAGGACAGGAAACTAAACCCAGGCACTTCCAATATAAATCCATTTGCAAAGAGAAATTAAACCAAGTCCTAAGACTTTGGCCATAACTTGCAGCCAGCTGGGCTCCCTCCTGCTCTGACTGAAGGCAGCAGCCAAATTTCCATTGCCTTTGCTGGAAACACCTGCAGAGCACAGCAGCTGTGCCAATCTGCCAGGGGCAACAAGGCAGGAATAGCAGCTGCATGTGGGACTGCAGCAGGGAATGTGACATGCAGGAACACGAGCACCCACTCTGAGATCTGGCCAGTGTGGACAGGGAGTGGATGAGAGGTTTGCAGCTGGCTGGCACACACTGGACATCAAATACCAAAACTGGTGTGAGCACTGTGGCTGTACTGGAGCAACCACACTGATGTTGACCTTTGAGACCCCAACCACCCTTTCTTTCTTTCTTTCTTTCTTTCTCCTTTGCCCATCTGCTGTCATCCCTTCCTCTGGCACTCTGTGCTTCCTTGCCCACACCCACACTGGAGAATGGCCTCTCCAGTCAGCAAACAACATCACTACAGCAAATTGCTCCTTCAGTCCACAGGCCAGCGGGTGGAAAACGTGCACAAAGACATTTATCTGCCTGGCAGAGGCAGTAAAGCAACAAAGAAGCCACCGAGCTGGGAGGCTTCTGAGAGAGAAACCTTAAGTGTCTGTGTGTGGGCTCATTGCTCAGTTGCTGACTGACATCAGCCCTCTTTGGGCTCAGAGAGATCCATTTCATTTTAAAGGGAACTTTCCCCCAGGGATCTCATTAGCAACACCATGAAAGTCAGAAAGGAACTGAAGGTTGTTGGGGGGGTAATGGTGGGGAGGTAAATAGGACAGAAGCACTGTCAGAGAGCACTCAGAGCTGTATTTTCTCTTTCTCATGCACACATACACGTTTTCTGTCAGAAAAACTCACATGGCATTGCAGTCCTGAATTGTGGGGTTATATGTCTGTAGGTAAAAACACAGCACTAACAGGCACCCCATGGAAACAAATGCGCAGAACAAAATCTTAACTTTCCCTCTGCAGGGCTGGGGCACACCATGCCAAGGTCATTCAAACATTATGTTCTAGCCAACAGCATGGGACAGCAATGCCCACCCAGGGGCTGGATTTGGGCTGGACCACTGTTAACCTGGGGTAAGGATGCAGGCCAATTCAAAAGCCTGGTATAAAGTATCATGTTTGATGTCCCGCAACAAACACTGCATGACCCCTCCCAATCAGCCAACACACCCCAAGCAGTTACACAGATGCTCCTTATGCAGTGCTGCCCTTCAGAGAGCAAGGTGCAAGGTCTGGTGTGGGTGAACCCCTCCACGGAGCATCTGGTGCTGAAGGTGGTGCTTGGAGAACAATGTCTGTCTAAGAAAGTCACCTCTTCCTGGAGTGAAAGCAAAGCTTCCATGACAGAAACAAAGCAGTGTCTTGCTCACTTCTCGTGTGACACATCAGGGCAACGTTCTGCCTGTGTTTGTTTCAAGAGGAACTGCAGGATGTCATCTGAGAGCCCAGGTGTCCTTCTCCTGTTTTCCAACAAGACTTCTCCTTCAGCTGGCTTTGAAAAGCAAGCAGAAGGGGGGTGGTTTGGAAAGATCTTACATCCATCTCTGTTCAAGACCAACTGTGCCATTTGCAGGCAACGTGACACATATTTTGTTCCGTCCTTTTGCTCCAGCTCTGAAATCTTCTGTGACAGACGCTGTGAGGCAGCCTCATAGGTCGGATCCTTTCTCTCTGGCTGCTTTCTGCAATACATTTTGTAGAAGCCATCCAGAGAGTCCCTGATGCTGGGATCTTCTGCACCATCACGTTCATACATCCATGAGAGCACAGCATCATTAGGTTCAGAGGGCTCACACAGCCCTGCTTTTGGGTAACAGCTCACGTTTGCTCCCTCAGAGCCTTCAGCAGAAGAGCCCGCAGGAGCCACAGATGATGGATTGCTCTCTCCTGCAAGAAGAGGATCAATGAAACTCATTAGTCACCAGGTCCTCCCTGTGGCAAAGTCTTTTTCTGTCCCACTCCCACCGCAGTCTGGCAAACAGGCTCTTTGCACGAGCAAACCAAGTGCTGCTCTGAACACAGCTGGGCTGCCACAGAGCCTGCCTGCACAGATTGGTGTAAGATGGGCTGATTTGGGTACCTCAGAGTTGTCCCAGCCTTGGTGGTACAGATCTCTCTCAGTTACACTTCCAAAGAGGTGGAAATTAGGATCTGCTGCTCCTGGAGATGACAGCTGACCCACAAGGAAGTCTGGTTTGCAGCTGAGACAGTTCTGCATCTGTTTCAGTTTTTTCCCTCATCCCTGGGTCTAATCCTTAAATTTTAATAGTTCTTAACTTTACTCAAGCACAATGTGTACTCCTGACCTCCAGCCTTCAGCCAGATTCACAGCCTCCAAACCAACACTGCTCTGTTGACTGCATGGAGTTTCAGAATTGCAAAGGGGGACTCTGTGTTTCCCCATGAAATCCCACTTTTGCAGCCCCGCTGCACTAAACGCTCTCCCCACACCCTGATGGAATTTCTATGGATAAAATTAATGCAAAGGCCAAGGACTTGTTCTTGCCTAGCTCTTCTCTTCCTTCCTTGCTGACCCACGTCTCTGGATAACAGTCAGGGCTGTAGTTTTCTCTTGCTTCAGAGCAATCAAGGGAGATGCTCTGCACTAATTAACACAGCACAACAGGGACACTTGGCAGTGACAAGACCAGGACGATCAGCAAGCTTCTAGGAGGAAGAAGTTCCACAAAGAGACCTTGAATTGAGCTCTGGTAGCCAGGTAGTGCCTCTGACTGCAATCTCATCTCCAAGCCCACTGCACCAGACTGTTTGCCAAGCACCTGAGTCACCGACAAGGAAATTTTCCAGGGCTCAGCCAGAGGTTGCACAGCCGTCATCTGCAAGTTACATAAGCAGGATGCAGGCAGTCAGAAAATAGCTTGGTCTTTTCTAATTCTGTGAAATGTGAAGCTGAGTGCAGTCCTTCATTTTGGTAGGAGACCATGTTCAAAGGGAGTCTCATGTGGTGGCAGAAGGCTGTTTTTCTCTCCTGGTACAGAGAGCCACCCTTCCCTTCCTAAGCAGAGGTTCATTAACATGAAATTAAGCTGTCTGCGCAGACACACTGTACCTCATCTCTTTCTTCCTATCCCTACTTCCTATCTTTGATCTCTCTTCTCAATTGCACTTCAGTTCTGATTATGCAATTTAAAATAGAACTTTCCCTCCCCTTGCAATGTGCCACTTCCAATGCAGTACAAAGAAAATCTTGGTGGCCTTCTTTTAACAGTGAGTTATGGCATCAGAATGGCAGATCAGAGAAGGTGTTCATTTTTCCTCAATAACCCCTCAGCCTGTGTAAGTTAGAACTGAAGCCTCGTGCATCTCTGATAATTCAATCAAGTGGCACTTGGACTCAGACTCCTGTGGCAATTGCAGACCCCCGGGTCGTGCTGGCTTTTTGCTACCTCCTGCTCACATCGACATTTTGTGACAGAGCAGCAGCTGCCTCCAGCTACACACAACAAGTCTGCATGACTCGGGAAAAGAAAAATTCTGTTGGTTTCATGTTGTCAGGGGAGACTTTAGCAATGCTGCTTTGCCTTTCTCCTACCATCTAGGTTTGGGTATTAGGAAACATTTCTTCACAGAAAGTGTTGCCAAGCACAGGAACAGGCTGCCCAGGAAAGTGGCTGAGTCACCGTCTCTGGAGGTGTTTAAACAACATGTAGATGTGGCACTTGGGGACATGGCTCAGTGGTGGACTTGGCAGTGTGAGGTTTATGGTTGGACTCAATGATTTAAAGGTCTTTTCCAACTTCAGAGATTTTATGCTTTTTATTCCATGGTCAGTATGGCCCATAAAGCTGACATCCTTATGCTGAAGCACAGCCCACCAAAGAAGTGACCAGTAAGTGTCTCAGGGGTATACTCTGGGGTGTGATTAGTCAGACCATATTTCATTATTATTATTATTATTGTGAGAACAGTTTTCTTTCAGTTACTGGTTCAGATTTATGCATCCCTATTTCCCAACAGTAGGCCCTATCCTCCTAGTGGATTACTTTTCCAGCAAAGCCTTCTTAAGACAAGACAGCCACTAGGGTTGGATGCCCCAGCCCTGGAGTGTTCAAAGCCAGGCTGGGATAAGGCCTTGAGCAACCTGATCTAGGGGGAGGTGTCCCTATCCATGGCAGGGGTTGGGACTACATGGTCTTCAAGGTCCACTCCAAGCCCTCAGCATTTTATGATTCTGTGACATGAAAAGGTGGATGAAGAATTCCCAGATCCAATCTATACCTCACAAAGTGCTGCCTTTCCTCAGCTTTCCTGACAATTTCCCAATAAATTCTCAAACTGTGTGCCAAGACCAATGTTTGAAAGTACACTCAAACCTTTTCCTGCCTCAAAGTTATCAGTTAAGGTAGAGATCCTTCCTTGATACCCTCTAAAGAGCTGGTACTGCTGTTGAAAGGTGCAAATCTCCTGAATGATTTATAAACCACAGGGAACAAGCACAGCAGCAGGATGCCTGCAGGGCCCAGAAAGAGCTTCTCAGCTGGAGCACACAAGCACATGTTGTAGGCCAGCAAACCTGCTGTTCAATGCAAAGACAGCATTCAACTCATCAATCCCTCTGCTTCTCCATGCACATGCACCCCTCAGAAAATCTGGGATTCTCTCATAACACACAATAGTGTTGCTTCAAAGCCTAGACCTCTCTGGCTGCCTCTCAGCAGTAGGAAAAATGTAGTTTTATAAATGCCTTTGTAAAATCCTTCCATGACAAACTTAACAACACAGCTGTCACACATCCTTGTGTAGGCTTGGCCCAACACCTACAGGGGTCAGGGTGTAGGTGTAGGGTACACCTACATCAAGGCTAAGATGAGCAAGGCTGAAAACTCTCACTCTTTACCTGCAATAGAATTTCATCACCAGAGAATCTGGCTCATTATTTTTAGTTATTTTCACTCATTTATACTACTGAATATTAAAGGGGGGGGGAGGGGGAAGCACCAATAGAAAAGCCCCGAAAAACTGAAACTGTCATTATTAATGTCTATTTCATTCTCACATGATGGATAATCATGAGGAAGAATGTATATTATTTCATCTGTTCCTCCACTCCATGCTAATTGAAGTTCAGCATTTGTAACTAATTAGTAAAAGAGCTGGGGGCAGATAAAAGGATAGATACTCTTGTGTTTATAAACCTGCTGATGAAAATTTAAAAGCTCCATCTGGTACAAGCTCATAACCCTACTGCCTGAAGCACAAAACCAAATTCTGCTTTGAACCTGGGCCACTTTCAGCGAGGCAACAATGCAGCAATATTATCAGTTGTACTTACAGAAAATGTAGCTGTTTGAGTTTCTGTGTAACTGTGTTCAAGCACAGTGAAGTTCTCACAGATTGCATTATTTCTCTTATCCCACCAGCCTGCCAGCATCTACCTGGGGTGACTGCAATCATCCACATGAAAGGGTCTGTGGGTGCCATGAAGTGCAATAACAACAGAAAAGTAAACACAGATGCTGTCCCTGAGAGTTTCTCCAGCCCTCACCCTGCTCTTAGAAAATCCCTTCTTGCCCCTCCATCAGACATGTCCATATGGCATGGGAAAGCTGGAGAGGAGGTGATACTACTTGGACTAGAGCAGAGCTCCCAACTGACACCAAACCTGTGCCAATTCAGGGGATCAGGGATGCATCCATCTGCACAGGGGGTGAGAACAGGTCCCATGCTGCAGCTGAACTCCCTACATGTATGGAGCACTTGAGACACTTGATGCATAGAAAAGCATATTTTGTTCTTTTTTTCTTTCCACCTGGCTGCTTTCCAGTGGGAGTGCATGTATCACCATGGGAGTGTAATTCCTCTCTGCTCAGGGAAGAAAGAAGAAATTTTAGGAGAATTTGGCAGGAGCTCTTTCTACCCCAATCTCACAAAGCACTTTAGCCTGACAGTAATCACACACTCGAGTACTCAGAAATTGCAAATCTAGACATTTGAGGATCAAATTCTATTGCCTTTGCTTGCATTAAGAACATTTCCTCTGATTACAACAGTTAAAAACCCATGTGTGAGCTGCTGATCACATTCCTTTACATGAGCTGAAATATATTTGCACTACAGGATTTTTATTATCACACTTAAATTGGAATAGCACCAAAAAGACAAGTATCAAGAAAATAAGCATCAATCTGCTAAATACTGCACAAACACTTATCACATTGAGTAAATGACAGACCCTAAAGCCTTTTGGTGTACAGTATTGAATAATTGTAGAGATTACAATTTCTCTGCCTTGCAGAAAACAGCTGTTGTCTTCTTGGGCAAAGGGAAAATACAATTTCTGATGACATTATCATTCAAAAAGACTGTCATGAGCAAAGCAAACTTGTTCCTTGTGGGTATTTAAATTGTGAACTGAAAGTGAAAATAAGAATGTAATAAGCCTTGCTACTTTGTTGTCTCCCGGGTGCTACACAAACCAGCTTTCTTCTGTTGCCATCTGCAGTAGGCTGCAGCTCACAAGATGGGATCTGTGAGACTCTGCTTTACACATGACATAACCAGCTATATTCTTCATCCCCCAGCCCACAGGAGTGGCACATGTGGCTGTGTCAGACTCTGAGTGCTGGCCAAGAATCCTGCTAACACCAGCTGCTCTGACAGGAGACCTGGAGAAAGTGAAGCTGGGCAAAAGGCAACAAAAAGGGAGGAATTTGGGGATTGAAGCGGAAAAGGGAGACAGTGACAGAGGAATAGCACTGGGTATGGCCCAGTACTGAGTCAGGCTCTCTGCTTTTTTTCTTCTTTATGCTGCACATTTGTGGTGTGAAAAGTTGGAGGGGGTTTCAATTTGCGTGGAATAAGACGTAAGCAGTTATTTTAGGGAAGCATAAAACCTCTTCCCTTTTAGTCTAACCCCCTTAGGAATC